TAGACTGGAACTTCATAGTGTCAAGATGTATTTGTCTATGGTACAATCGTACAATAGTACATAATATTACATTTATTCGAACTTACTTTCTGTTAATACAATAAATATTTTGAAAAGTACTCAAGAATAAAAAAAGAAAATAACTGTAAACTTTGTTAGGATGAGCCCTTATATAGTAATAAGTACGCATTACTTAATTTCTTGCAACATTTTTGATAATACTCAAGTTGTTGATCTAATAATATGTATGTGTTGTTTCATATTGGATGTGATTATTATATTATAAAATGAATATTCTAAACTAGAATTATATCTATAATAAACACTTGTATATGACGTTTATTATATCTAATTATATAATGCTTTCATTATAATTTTTTTTTTTTTTTTTTTTTAACTAATTTGATAGCAAAAGCTATGCACTTTTTTAAATGAATTTACAAATCTTATTGGTTACTAGGATTTTCTAGGTCAAAAACTGATTAAATAATATCTTTATTTAGGGCTTGTTCTACGAGTGTTTACAGGATAAATAAAAGAACAAATAAAAATATATATTTCTCTAAGCTTGATGAGTTTTTTTTTATATAAAATATTTTATTTTATAACACATTTTTGATAACAAAATTAAATGTCATGTTTCATTTTCAAATTTCATATTTTACTGTATAGTATAAAAAGGAATCTTTTGTACATATATAGCATTTGGTATGGTATCACATTTTTCATTACACATATTTTGTACAGCTTTAGCATTTGGATGAATGATAGCATATATATATATAATATATATATATGTGAGAATATCCATTTTATTAATATAATGGATTAAGAATAAAATTGCATATAATACAATAAGCTTATTAATTACAATTTCTTATATCCACTAATGTACAAAGTGATGAAATTATGTCATTGTAAAGTCATGAAAGAGTTATATGAGAGATAATTGGAAAAATTAGGGATTTATGTTCTTTTCTCCTACAATACAGTCAATTAGATAGTCTAGTTCCTTTGATTTTTCATTTTATGTTCTACTAGCTAAGACTTATTAAAAGAAATATTAAAGATCTTGCTCATATATTTTCAATATAAATTCTAGATATATAAATATATAAGTATTCGAAATAATAATTTACTATTTAAAAAGTGTAGAGCGAATAAACGGAATCATATTCGTTATTATTTCTGTAGTTTATTTTTAGAACAAAGAAGAAACATTATATTTGCTGTAATAATGCTTTTATTTTATTCGTAATGAAAATAAATTAAAGTATTTTTGCCATAAATGTATTGTTGCAATGAAAAAATAAAAAAAAGAATAAAAAACAAGAACACAGAAAAACGTCGATTTCAATATAAAATTTTAATGAACATTATCACAATAAAGTAAGAAGAATATAAAACAAAAACTTTTCAAAATGTATTGAAACATATCCAATTGTATGAAATATACACATTTATTATACAAAAATTTATTATATGTTTTATTATATGTTACATGACAAATCTTTTATTAATACTTCATAAAAATCTACATATCCATCTGTAAACAATTCTTGATTCTTAATAGTGTTAATGTATTCTTCAAATTCATTACTTTTATAGTAATTATCTGTCGAATTTGCTTTATTAATTATTTTCTTAGGTGCAGGCACAGGAGGTTTAAATGCAACACCAGTTGGATCAAATTCTGTATAAAACTGTTCTGGTGTTCTAAAAATTTCAGAAATAAGTAACTTTAAAATAAGTTAAAAATTACAAATTTTATTAAATTTTTAAATATCATTTGTATGTATATACTTACAGTTTAGCAATATCTGAACTTAAACTACCTTCACCATTTACAGGTACATTCCATGCTATATTTTTTGCTACTTTCCGCACTATGGTATGATAATGACGCTGCGTAATAGAAAATAAATGTTAATGTAGAATAAACATGATTTATTTTTTAAATTAAATCTTTAGAATTACACACCTGAAGGACAACAAGCTCCCATAATGCAGAACAATGTGCATTACAATATTCTGGATCTTCAATTTCAGGTTGATAAAATCCATCTCCACTGGTATAATCTGTATCTAATAAAACATCTACTGCTCTACCAAGTTGCATTATTTGCTTGATAATACTTAGTAAACCAAGCGCTCCATTATGTTGTAATTGTAAAGCTAAAGTAATCATTCTTTTTACAAAAGCTACTAAACGTTTAGAAGAAATTCTTTTTCTTCTATTAATAAGTACTTGTATTAAAGTTCTCAAAATAATTTCTATTTCAGTTTGTGTTTTACCACAATGAATATTTAAAAGATTTTTATATAAATGTACATAAAATCTGTAAAATGGATATATATAATATTTATCTTAGAAAAATATTTTTCAATGATTATATATCATAATAAAATATACTGACTTGTAAGGGTCAATATTCAATGATGTACCTTGACCTGATAATATTGTAAATACGCATTGAATACAATGCAGTTGTTCTCTCAATCCTAAATTACCTTCCTCCATCAATCTATCTATAACTGTTACTATATCTTGATAAAAATCTAAATTGATACAATGTGCAAATCTAAAATTCAAAAATATATATATGAAGAAAATTTTCTTTTTAATAATAAAGTAAAATATATATACATAATACAGGGATTATCTTACTTTGCCAATCCTTCTAAGCATACAGATAAAATTTTATTATTTGGAGTTTGCTTCAAAATTCTAAAATAAATTGTGAACACTACACTTGTTATTTCTGTAAAAATTTTCTGTTTTGCTTGTTTGTTTTCTTCTGCTTTGGTTTCTAATAGTTCTTTTTCTACTTGTTCTAATTTTTTGTTCTTTTTCCTTTCTCGTTTGCTTAATGAAAGAATTCTTTGTTTGTGAGACATTAGTTTCTTTTGTTTAGTTTCATCTTCTTTCTCTTTATCAAGATCAATATCTTTTATACGAAGAGATAAAAGCACAGATATAACTTCAGCATGTACACTATGACCTTTAGATTTTATAAATTGATTTATTTTACGTACTATCTGTAATCATAAAAAGTATTTATATACAGAATGTAGTGAATTAACAACAATTTTGTACAATTTTCTTACCATAAGTGATAATTCTCCACGCTTATCTTCCTTAAATACTTCAGAAATATATTTTACTATTCTTTCTCTTACACTAGCCTTTTTGTTATTTAATAATGGTATGAGAAAGTTTGCTATATTAAAGGAAAAATTGAAATAAGGATGGTTAACTAATAATTCACACATACACATTACAGCCATTTCTCCCAATAAAATTTCTCTTTCATAAACAATTCGTGTGTCTCCTGCTTTTTTTCTCAGGATATTAGACATCTTTTCAAGTTTTTGTAAGTACTGTTTGTAACTTTTTAGTAATACAGCTTCATAATTTTGTAATTGTAATGTCTCCTTTTTCACTAAAATATAAAATATTAATAAACATAAATCAAAAATATATAAAAATTAATAACTAAACGATATTAAACAAATATAATTATTTTTAAGTGTACTAGGTTTACAAAATATACAAACATTTGACGCCTTCCGGTTTGAGTTGTAAAATTTGATAAGATGGCAAAAGATCTTTAAATACTTCTAAAAGTGATATCATTGCCAATTTTTTAACTGTGATATAGATTTCTGGATTGCTTTCTTCCATGAAATCCAAAAGTACTTTAAAATTACTAGATTTAAGTTCTGGATTCTCTAAAAGTGTACTGGACAATACACCAATTTTGAAGCGCCTTGATTTTAATATTTCTTCACGACATGCTATAAGTTCTACAGTAGATACTGCTTCACCATTTTCCTTATTTAAATTGTTCTACAATATTAATTAAATTCCATTATTTTATCGTTATTGGAGTTAAAATGAAAGTTATTGAATTCAAGTAACTCTCTTATATGTAATATAACATATTTGGTTAATATAAAGTCAATGTATAATTGTCAAAGATTTACTTGTAAATATGAATTAATTTCTCCATGTTCATCTAATTCTTCATCTTCCCCATTTTGTTCAAACATACTTTCTTCATTATTTTCAATTTCCTTATCTTCTTCTTCTTCTTTTTCTTCTATAATTCTCTTTTCTATCACACCTTGTTGAGTTTTTATAGGAAGTAACATACGCATCTTTTTTATACCGTTTCTTTCATTCAACTTTGATATATGATCTTCATACGATTCTTCTAGTTGATCTTTTTCCTGTTTTCTTTTAGATTTTTGTCCTTGTTTATGATTTACAACTATCCTAAAATAAATATCAATTTATGTTGATTGTTTTGATTATATAATTGTATAAAAATGATTAATTTCATACTCATTCAATCTTATTTTTTTCAGTAAATTATAAGATTTATTAGAAATAGCATTTTGTAAAAAAGATAAATCATCTTCTTCAACCATATGTAATAAATCTTCTCCATTATCACTTTCTTCTTCTTCTACTTTGTCTACTTTTGGTAAAGTTCTTTGAATTTGTTTTTTAGATTGCTTATGTCTACGTGTTTTTAATTTCCCTTGTTTTGAAAGTTTTGTTTTTGTCTGATTGTTTCTTTTAATTTTACTAATCTTTGGTTTCTTTTGCTTCTGTTAGAAAAAAAAATATTATCTTATATATATTATTATACATATTAAAAAATATAAAAAATATTTCTATTTACATTTAATTATTTTATTAAATATAAAACAAAAATTATTAAACTTGTTTTCATATTTAAAGATCAGATTTTATAACAAAATTACAAATTTCATATAAAATCAAAATATATTTAATACTTACACTCATTTTTATGTATTTGTTAAAAAATTACTAGAAATTTTAGATATTGTCAAATCTTGAAAATATTTATTAATAAATTAATAGTAAATTAAATTTGTATACTTTTAAAGTCAACACGTGTATTACACTACCACCACTAAAAGTTGTACTGTAAGTATTTGTGTTGGTACAACTTAAGCTTCGTTTCTATATAAGCAGATACGATACATTATAAAGGCACAACGAAAGTTTTATAAGTGACGCATGTGCATATATGATTATTTCTCTGTGAGAAAAATAGAGTGGCATAGGGAATATACTCTTTTGATCTTTTTTCTGTAGATTCTTCTATATTTAAGGTATTAATGGGCTTCTCTCCAAGAATAAAAATTCCATAAGCTATATCTTTCCAATTTAAATCACGTAACATAGATGCATCCATTACGTATTGTACACAACCTATTTAATATACATCCTACATGAAAGAAAAAATTTATTTTCAACAAGCGATTTTTTTTATTTCATGATAATCTTAAGTAATAGTAATAATTATAATAAATAATTTTATTAACGAATCAGATAATTTAAGATAACTAAACTTCTTAAATTTTACTATCTCATACAATGTATACCATTTGAAATACATTCTTCGTATATAGAACTTCAAATTTGAAGTAAAAGTCAATATTATAATTTGCTGTTATTATTTCTCTATGATTAATAATTGTAAAAGACTTTATAAATATATATATATTTGATTTCAGGAGAATATAATTTTTAAAATTTCTTAGAAATTCCGATCCTATGTCCGAGTAATTAATACAATGAAATAAAAGCACTTTCTCTATGAACCTGTTGATATTAATATCAATCAAGAAATATTAACATCTTGTTAAATAATTTCTGCAAAAAAGAAATATAATACTTTTGAAAAAATGGAACCCATAAAACCCATGAAGTTAATGGTACGTTCGTTAGCATCATTTGTAATCCTTGCAAGTGTAATACACTCTGTTTGGTATCTTTTTCGAGAAAAATATGTGCCAAAATATGAACAGGGCAATATTCCTGTTGTTATGCTATTTAAATATCTTGCAGGAAAAGATACAAAGAAAAGAGACAATGATGAAAATTAATGTATAATTAATTTAAAGTAATGTATAATTCTTTGTAATATAATAAATAATTACATTAAAAAATAGTATTTTTTTATTATGATTTTAATTCTGACATAATTAATCAAAATATTGTAAAAGGAAAAAAATAGATTGTGTGTGTGTGCTGTATATATGCTGTTATATACAATCAAGTTGTTAATATTAAATTTATGCTAAATTTGTTTTATTTAATTAGTACTAGTATTATTCTTTAGTATTGTTTAATTATTTTTCATATATAAATATGTTATTACATTATACAAATATATATATATGTTTTAGTCGATTCAATTATTTATATGAGATGTACATTTACAGTTCACGTAATAAATATTCCTTGCATTTAAAGTATTACGAGAGCAATAACTATCACAATTATTAAAGGTAGGTAAATCAATAAAAATACACTATTTGTGATTACTTGGTTAACCTCTTGACGTAATTAAGTATGCGAAGCAGTTCACTGATGTTCAAAGAGAAAATTAATTTTTCTTTTCCTTTACTCTTTGTATGTTTTAATAAAACAACGTATTAAAATAAAAAATATGTAAATTCTCCTACTTCAATTATATTTGACATACATATATATTTACATGTCAGATATACACAAGAAATGATATAGATCTTGAGGAATACTTCATCATGAAATACTGAATGATAAATATATATTGTATTATAAAACTAATATATTATTATAGAACTACATCAATAAAATATATTTTTCTTATTACATTTGATATTTTTATATATTGTACAATAATGAAAAAAATGGTTAAAATTTTTATGAATTTATTTGATGAATTAAATGGCATTTCTTAATAAAATATGTAATGTTATATGCACGCGTAATCTTTTATGAAGAATTATAATCGAGATTAAAATATAAAATTTATGACTATAATTTTCAATGATGGTTTTTGTGCCATTATTTGATTTTATTGTTAAGTGGTAGAAATCGGTCTAGTTGCCGTCTCCTATTCTCATCTAAGACCAAGGAGGGGATATCGTGGACAAAAGCGACCTCTGTTAAGCTACCGGCCCGCTCATCAAAGTGTGCAATGCATTGCTGTTGAAAATGGCGTCGGGCTCGGAGGTGCCAGAATATTCGTCCCCAGCAAAACGGCGAAAGGTCGACGGTTACGACTATACGTCTATCAACAGTATTGAACCAGATTTCAGAGATTGCGAGATCGTACGCGACAGAACGAATGAAGATTTTGAAGGTATGTTCGCAATATTATGAACGATTAATTAAAGAAATCGACAAAAATTGCAAGATGGCGGAGCGAAAGGCGTCACCTCATTTTCCATGGTCTGTCTTAGCTTGATCCTGTTTGCAGCGAGTACTGAGGACGCCATGACAGTTGCGCTTCGTGCGTCGTATTTTCTAAATACTTTACTTCTACCGCAGTTAACAGTTTCCTCAAGCAACTTTATAAGGCCGGTATTCTATGATTTCCTTGCTATTGGTCGCATTTTTTTCAATGTCGCGTGTAAAAAAAGACAAAAGAATTTTCCTTAGAACATAAAGCATTCGAGGCGCGTATCGAAGGATTAGTGTGACAGTAGCATCTCGGTGCGCTTCATTCGCAGAGATTCACAGATGGCACAATTCTCACATAAAAGAGAAACGTAACTGTTTTTCCTTCATTGCGCATATACATTGATAGGCGGGAAAAATATGATATCCTACAAATATAATCATTTTTACAGAATATATATATATGTATCAAATATATGTATACATATATATATGTGTCTATATATATACATATATATATATATGTATGTATATATATAAAGGTATTTTAATAATAATTCATCGACTTTTATAAATGGATAGCGATATTCTAAATAAAACCATTTTTCTTTTCCCCCTATTAATATCTTCGGATATAATCAATATTACATTTTTCATTTTTTTCATCATTTCTTTTTATTTTTTTTTATTTTTTTTTATTTTTTTTTTTTTTAATTTTTTTTTAATTTTTATTTTTTTTATTTTATTTTTTATTTTTATGAAAACAACGATTTATAAATCAAATATACAAATAATGAGATGAAATTTATATCTGAACTATTATTTTTCATTAAATATTAATAATAATGATAAATTATTAATAATATTGTAAATATTAATAATAATAAATATAAGTGTACATCTTCTATAAATTAAAAAAAAAAAATTAAAAAATTGACACGAAGTAATAAAAATATAAATTTATTTTTATAATTACATAAAATAATTTTGAAATCTATATTTATAATCCATTGATAACAAAACAGAATTTAATAGATTTATTGTATTGTTCTATTTCTAAAAGGATATATAAAGTTATTAAGTATTTTTTTTATATACAAATTTTTTATACAAAGAAGAAGAAAGTATATTTTCATATGAAATAATAATTTATAATTGCATGAATATATTGGTTGAAATAATATTTAAAATTAGATATGTATAGTATTCATTAGAATCTATATAACAATATAGGTGGTTTTTTTTTTTTTTTTTTTTTTTTTTTTTTTTTTTTTTTTTTTTTTTTTTTTTTTTTTTTTTTTTTTTTTAAGAGTTAAAATCTAACATTAATTTTTTGTAATAAAATAATTAATGATTATTTTCTTTTTTATATATATATAGAAACATCGGGTACAGACAGCGCATATGCTGAATTAAGCGATGAATCCAAGTCTGCTTCCACTTCTTCAGATGCTACAAATTTGACATCTTCATCTAGAATTGATTCGACCAGTGACGATACTGGATGCCCGTAAGTTGAAATCATTAAATCATATTGTACTTTGAAATATTTTAAGTTATTTATTGTTATCATTCGTGTATTAGGATTGACACTGCAGATGAAAAAGACGAAGTGTCATCGACAGTATCCAATTTGTCAGATTTATCAGGTTTATCTGAACTTTCTGGTAACGGAGAAGTTGGTAATCAGTGGCAAAACGCCTGTTCGTGGGTGGAAAAGCAAATGTTAATAGGTACAGATCCACGAGATCTTTTACATCACCTACTCATGGATTCCACACAGATTCCAGAGCAGGTTGATGACCTGACGCTGTGGAAGGTATCTATTAAGTAGTAAATAGAATATGAAAATATATTAAATAAAATATCTGTGATCAGGATATTCTAATGCTAAGCAATTCGATATTTTAGATAATATTAAATATGATGTGTGAACCACCACGAAGGCAAAAGTTGAGGCATATAAATACGTTGTCCGACGTTGTTAGATTAATTCGCAATAGTAAAAAAATCATAGTTCTGACAGGCGCTGGTGTGAGTGTAAGTTGCGGTATACCTGACTTTAGAAGTAGAGATGGTATATATTCAAGACTCGCTCAAGATTTTCCAGATTTACCCGATCCACAGGTAGTGCAAAATAATAAATTTGATTGCTTTAATATATTTTATTTAACTTCATATATTTATTTTTGTTAATATGTGATCTTTACTATTTATTTCATAGGCTATGTTTGACATCAATTATTTTGGTCAAGATCCTAGGCCATTTTACAAATTTGCACGTGAAATATATCCAGGACAGTTTAAACCTAGCCCCTGTCATAGGTTTATAAAAATATTGGACAAACAGAAAAAGCTTTTACGAAATTATTCACAAAATATCGATACTTTGGAACAAGTAGCTGGCATTGAAAACGTGATAGAGTGCCACGGTATGTAAATTCGATATTCCTGTGGTACAGGCAACCCTCCTATAACACGGTTAATTACCGTGGTTATGTACCGTGTTATAAAAAGCTAGGAAGTAATATAAATTAGGCGAATTTGTTTTGTATATATCAAAACCGTGATATAGGAGGGTATTTCGCAATTTTTGTACCGTGCTATATCGAAACCGTGTTCTTGGAGTATCGTGTTATACAAGGGTTGCTTGTACTCAAGAAAAAATGGAAATGTAAGATCGAAAGTATCTCTCGTTAAATAGAAAAAATATTGAAATTCTTTAATCGTTCTATTTCTTATTATGTATTCGTTTCTTCTATGGTTATTTTTTTTTTTTTTTTCAAAGGCTCGTTTGCTACTGCTTCCTGTACAAGGTGTAAATATCAAGTTAAAGCGGACGACATCAGAGAAGATATCTTTGCCCAAAGAATACCTTTGTGTCCAAAATGCAGAGTGAACGCCCTACCTTCAATAGCCGAGACCAACTCCAATGAAAATTATAGAGGTAAATGGATGACCTATTTATATTTGATCTCCGCTGATAGTATATTTATTTGCAGTCTTTCGTAATCTGGCTTATCAGTTTCTATGGTATGGAAACTTAGCTATCTAGAGATAGTTTCTGCTATTAGCCTTTCCTATATTGTGTCGCGAGTCGATGGCCATGTGAGAACATTATCTGCTCTTCTCGGAATACATCTTCGCTAAATGATGTTGCCATTTACACTGATCCACACATAAGTCGATATGTCAATCATAACTGCGAGTAAAACCTCGCTTATTAATAAGCATAATAAGGTAAACTTATAAAATTGCATCAAATAACCCCGTAAACGCCAATCAGACGTGGTTACGGGCTTACAGTTTACCGCTTGCCATTTTATCACATTTGACATTTACAATTGAAGTATGTTATGATTGAGTGAAAAAGACGCCATTACTCTCTGATCCTGATTTTTTTTTTCTCTTTTCTCCCATATTTAATTGAAAAAATCAATTTGGTATTTGAAATACATTTTTGTCTCTTTAATTTTCAGATCTCGTGTCTCAAGGTATTATGAAACCTGACATAGTCTTCTTTGGCGAAGGTCTTCCGGATGCATTTCATGATGCCATGGCAAAAGATAAGGACGATTGTGATCTTTTAATTGTCATTGGATCATCTCTAAAGGTTCAGCCGGT